CACTATATGTTGTAGATGACTCCTGTTTTTTCTCCTTGGGCTACTGGGTCTTTTGGTTTACCTAGGATGTTTTAGAGGGCTTCAGTTGTTTTGTGTGCTATGGTGATGCCTTGTGGTTGTAATAGTCTGTGGTTGTTTCTGAGATATTTTTGATGCATGGCAGTGTTATCCTGTTCACTGCTTGTGTTGGTTGTGCTGTTGTGTGTCGAATGGTTAGGTCCTTTTTGATAAAGTTGTGTGGGCATCCAGTTTGTTGGAAGGTGTTTTATAGGTTGTCTGTTTCCTTTTTCTGGTGTTCTGGGTTGCTGCAGTGCATTTGACTTGTCTGAATAATGTTCTTACATGCTCCTCCTGTGAGAGGTTGGGTTACTTTGGTAATGGAGCACTTGATTAGTGTGGGTTGTTTTTCAATAGACTTGCATTTCTAATTTGCCATTGTTTCCTCTGCTGATGAGGACTTGCATTTCTAATTTGCCATTGTTTCCTCTGCTGATGAGGATATCCAGGAAGGGTAGTGTGTTGTTTTCTTCTTTCCTTGTGGATTTTATTCCTTTGTAGATGTTGTTGATTGTTTCATGTTCATGTTCATTGTTTCATTATAATAAAAAAGGGACAACTAGAGAAGACAGATGAAACAATCAACAACATCTTCAAAGGAATAAAATTCACAAGGGAAGAAGAAAACAACAACACACTACCCTTCCTGGATATCCTCATCAGCAGAGGAAACAATGGCAAATTAGAAATGCAAAGATGAAACAATCAACAACATCTTCAAAGGAATAAAATTCACAAGGGAAGAAGAAAACAACAACACACTACCCTTCCTGGATATCCTCATCAGCAGAGGAAACAATGGCAAATTAGAAATGCAAAGATGAAACAATCAACAACATCTTCAAAGGAATAAAATTCACAAGGGAAGAAGAAAACAACAACACACTACCCTTCCTGGATATCCTCATCAGCAGAGGAAACAACGGCAAATTAGAGACTCAAGTCTATCAAAAAACAACACACACTAGCCAAGTGCTCCATTATCAAAGTAACAACCCAACCTTCCACAAGAGGAGCTTGTAAAAACATTATTCGGACGAGTACAAATGCACTGCAGCAACCCAGAACACCAGAAAAAGGAAACAGACCACCTATAAAACACCTTCCAACAAAATGGATACCCACAAGGAAACAGACCACCTATAAAACACCTTCCAACAAAATGGATACCCACAAGGAAACAGACCACCTATAAAACACCTTCCAACAAAATGGATACCCACACAACTTTATCAAAAAGTGCCTGACCACTCAACCCACTACAGCACAACCAACACAAGCTATGAAAAGGATAACACTGCCATGTATCAAAAATATCTCAGAAACAACCACAGGGTATTACAACCACACGGCATCACCACAGTACACAAACCAACTAAAGCCCTCCAAAACATCTTAAGTAAACCAAAAGTAGCCTAGTAGCCCAAGAAGAAAAAACAGGAGTCATCTACATACAGTGTAAGGACTGAAACAGCTACTATGTAGGACAGGCAGGCAGAAGACTAGCAGAGTGCATCCACGAACACTAAGTAGCAGTCAGAAGACATGATGAAAACCCCTTAAACTCAACACATGGACAGACTGAAGCATAATTTGAACTGGGAAACTGTGAACATCCTAGACCAAGCTAAATTAAAAAATGCTAGGGAATTCCTGGAAGCTTGGCATTCAGACAAATCAGCCATCAATAGACAC